ATTACGATTTATATCAGACTTTCAAATATTCTAGAGCTGTGTAGTTATTGGGTAAGATTCCTTCTTCTAGGCTAGTTATACGATCAAGCAGTTTGAGTAAATTAATGTTGCAGATTTTATTCTACTCCAATAGAATAGTTTCATCGAAATACACAAACTACCTATATAGCCTTAGTAAGTAAATATTGCAAAATTGACGAAATAGTTGGATTGAAGAAAGGTTAATCTGGATACACGATGAGGGATTCTCAGCAAATTAATGTTGCAGATTTATCCTTGATACATACTTTTAATGGTACTGCTATATTCTGACAGTGACTTGATGTAACCTAACACCATCTATACTCATAGCATGTATAATCCAGTTTTATATATAGCAAATTATCTTATGATGCACTGTAAGTAGGCTCTAAAGAAGTTGTTGGCGAACGCCATGTGAAATCGTGATTATACAGGTAGTTGGATCTACATAAGTCCTTTGGAGTCATAAAGGTCTCCACTTCTATGATAAAAAAGGTGCTTGCATTACCTGCGAGGACCCGTAACCTCCCTAATATCCAGTCATCGTATCAGTCCTACTCGAATGGAATAGTTTAATCAAGATGCATGATTACCTAAGTAGCCTTTGTAAGTGAATATTGCAAAATTGACCAATAATTGGATTCAGGAAAAAGTTTACCTAAGCGACTAATCTTTGCAGTATCCATCCACATGGATGGCAATGTATGCTTTGTAGGTTAATAATGTGAACTAGCGGGAATAGAACAGCTAGTCAAGAGACTAAATGAACAGCTAATCTTTTCATTATCCATCAAGATAGACGACTACACAACCTTAGTAAATATATTACAAACTGATGAATGAAGGGCAGACTAAAAGACAGCTAATCTTTTCAATATCCAACAAGATAGACGACTATACAACCTTAGTAAATATATTACAAACTGATGAATGAAGGGCCGACTAAAAGTCAGCTAATCTTTTCAATATCCTACAAGATAGACGACTATACAACCTTAGTAAGTCAATATTACAAAATTGTGAGAATGGAATAGCTAGTCAGGAGATTTGAGAGCTGCTAATCACTTCAATATCCATCAAGATTTTTAACTATGCAAGCTGTTTAGGTTAACATTACCAATTGACGAGAATGGAACAGTTACCCAAGAGACTTTAGAATAGCTAGTCTTTTTCAATATCCATCGAGATTCATGAAATAAGCAAGATTTCCAGGTTAACACTACAAATTGAAAGAAACAACTAATCTTTTCAACATCCATCATCATACATGATCATGCAATGCTAGTAATTCAAAGCTACAAATTGGCAAAAATGGGATAGTTGGTCAAGAGATGAAGGAATAGCTAATCATTTTAATTAAAACCAATTGACGGCCAAATAGGTACTGCATTGCCTGTTTATTGGATAGATAATGCATAAGCATTCTTCCATTCCCATTTTAAGACTCGATCTAAAAGGTTGTACATGTTTCATTCTATATTGCAAGGTCATAGTAGCAGTGATACAGCATTTAGAGTAAGAACCTTTAATATCAATCGGCTTAAAGTAAATACAAGGTCTGCTCAATCACTTTCTCCAATGGTGTGGCATAGTCTTATACCATTAATCAAGGTAAAACCTAGACTAATCTTTCATTCTTACCCTTGTCTCTATTGGTCTTTTCATGGATGATATTAAACTAAGAAATATCTACCTGTCTAGAGGTAGTTATTGAGTTACATTAGACGCCAAGGTAGCATAAAAGTTGACATAAGCTATTGCTAATGAGAGGACAGCCTACCGCTGTTGCTATATACACATTCATCTTATTAGATAATTTAATGACATACTTTATTTATATTAATAAATACACAGAGCAAAGTCCAACTGATACAAATCTTCAATTGCTAAAGCATGGATTATTTGTTTGAAGTTAACCCCATGAAATATTTTTCAGTGATAATACCTATAGTGCGCGATAGCCTTATGAAATTTCTTCTGCTCAAGTTCTTCCCTTTTTCTGCGCAATCAACACTATCTACAGTATAGATGTGAACTTTTACTTCTCATATTATAGAATTAAATCTAGGTATGCAAAGCTAATTTGTCCATTTTCTCTTATATTACATGCATCTTTAATCATTATAATAGAACAGAAACTACTGTGGATATTTTTTTGTAGTCCCTTGCTATATTAATAATTAAAATTGCGTCATATGGATTAGAAACTGATTATATCAATCCAATATAGCATGATTCTTCGCTCTACTACGATTCATGATAGAGTCAGACCCAATTTAAACATAGTAATCAATATTACATTGATTTATACTGCATATTTTTATCTCCAGAATTCGATTGATTTCGCAAATTTTCCATAAATTAATATCAGCTTTGGTTAGCCATGAGAGATTGGTAAACGCCTTGTATTGAATAATTACTTAATATGAATCTTGTATTAATTAATTCGAGATATAACAGTCTTTTCGCTATACCATAATTTATTATATTCTCATCCATTTAAAATGTTAGACATAATTGATAATTTCCATTACGACAATTGACTAAATTATAACTGCAGCATTTACAGAAGCTTTCGTTAACCGTTATAGATTGATGAACGCTATGAATCGAATAGCATAAGTCGTGTATTGATTATTTCGAGCTGATAGTACATTCTTTTTTACTCCACTGTGATTTATCGTATCGTAGTCTGTTTGAAATGTTAAACAGAATTGAAATAATTTATATTAAAGTAATTTACTAAATTATCAATTCAGCATCTAAAGAAGCTTCCGTTAACCATTACAGATTGGTCAACGCTATGAATCGAATAATATGAATCTTGCATTGATTATTTTAAGCTAACATTACCTTCTTTCGCTCTAGTACGATTGGTGGTATACCAGCATTATTTAAAATGTTAGATCCAATTTTAAGTAATCAATATTAAGGTATTATTCAAAAATATAAATCCATTATAGATTTGTATCGGCTTTCATTGACCAATGATAGGTATAGCTATGAATCGAATAATATGAATCTTACCTTGATTATTTCAAGCCAATATTACAACTACCATGATTTATCATATACCGTATATATCGGCTTTTATGAATCATTCAAGATTGATAAAATCTTAAAATTAAACAATTTGAGTCATATTAAATGTTTCGTAGACCATCAGAGATTGGTGAGGCTTAGAATCGAATTATACAAGTCTTGTTAATTACATATCGGCTTTTGTTAAGCAATGGAGATGGATGAATGCTTAAAATCGAATAATACGGATCTTGAACTGATTTAATTCAAGCCAACTTTATATCATTCTTCTCTCTACTATAAATCTTTGCGTACTGATATGATTTAAATTGGCAGATCAAACTGAAATAGTTAACGTAACTTTATATTAATTTATAAATTATAAATCTGATATACGAGTATAGTAATGTATATTGCCTTACGTCAACAGATAGCAGATAAAGTAAGCTAGTTTACGAAGAATTTTTAGATAATTTATCCACTAACTGAAAAGAGAGTGTAAAGTAGCCTGCAAGTGAAGCAAGATTAAAAGTCTGAAATCGTAAATATAGCCAACTCTGATACCTTTGCAGACATATGAATATATTTATACTTTATATCAGGGCTTAATATATCATATACTATGCTGAGACTTTAATAAATGACAGCGATTATATATCTTCAAGCCTATTGATTAACTGTTTAGAAAGATGCACATAAATGCACTATCCATCCTTTAAGATCTCATTCTAAAGATAATAGTTTAATATAGCTTAGTGACATCTGTGACTGCATCGAATCACAGTCATATTCACGAATTCATTATGGTTATCTAAATAGGAGTATATTATTTCATTCAATCTTGATATAAATCAACGATATCGTAAATAAGAAGACCTCCGAATATGTTTGCCGCAGATAGGATATCATTCTAATATTATGGACTATAGCTATTACTTTCTATTTCAAAACTAGCTCTTAAAGGCAGCTAATTTTATGGGATAGTCTAACTCTTAATTTACCGTTGTTCCTTAAAAATTTCTTCTAAAAAATTTTAATAATTTTGCAACAGATTAATATCTAAACGCTATGACGTAAGAGTTAATTAAATTTTGGCATGCAAACCCAACTTTACGCAGATGAGTAGTGCATCAAATAAGTTCATATAATATCCAAAAATTTAAATCCGTCAATGACGTAAGGTCGTATCATAACATAAAAGTATGCAATCTTTCACGACTGCTAAATCCCTATTACCAATCTACACAGTAGATCCTATCTATCAGCTAACAAAAACAAATTTGCAAAGGGAATTGATTGATGATAAAGAATTAGCAAATTTCTGCAGTGACTATGACAATAAAGTGCATAACAACGTCTATCATAGAATCCCATAACATATATAAAAATTTTATAAAAAAGATATTAGTATCAGCAAATTGCTCATAAGAACGATTGCAAGTCGTTAAAGTGATAATATTGATAATGTAATTCTTATACATAAAACTATTTATAAGTAGCGATTGTTACTGATAACCGATAGTTTGCAGCATCGATGAATTTACAGATATACAATATACATTTTAGTAAAATATACATTACAGGCAAACGTTTATATTGATATACTACTAGTACGGCATATCAATACATACCTAACATGATCCTTTTCAGAAGATACATCACATTGCATTTATAGTTTAGGTAGGGGAAACTTAAAATGGTATCTCATGTTATGTAATATGTCAATTAAATAACATTGATTTAAAAATAGATCAAAAATAATCTGCATGAGATGACAAAATATAGTCGTTATCATGCATCATATTTTTAATCACAAACGAAATTGCCATCGTTAATGACGTTCGAAATTGATAAATGAAACGCTTAAGAAGTAATCTGCTATTAGATATTATTTTACATAAAAATAGCTATTATTTGTCTTTTCTCTCCTATCAATGCTAAAATGTGCATTATCAGTTTCAACTTGGCATGTTTACGACACGAATAATTTTATTGCCCCTTTTAACGATAATCCTCTTGATAATTCTGACGCGAACATGCTTCTTTTTTCCACTAATCTCGTCAAAATTCCATAAACCTTTCTTTGAATGATAAAAATGGAAAAATTTTGGTGCTCGAATTCTTTCTACTTCTATTTGCTGCTGAAGGATTCTATAATATTAATTCGTGTAGAATACAACCATGTAAAAATGTCAAGGTGCATCACCGGAAAATTTTAAAAAGTTAAGTTTTGTAATCCCATCACGCATAATATCAAACTGACAATCTAAGTTAGCAATTGTACTATGATGAGGACTATGCGCTATTATTACCGATCTAGGGTTTCTGTATCTTCACCACCCCAGCCTTCACCAAAATCTTTAGTATTCATTCCTCCAATTCTGTCAAAGTCTGATTTATACATACCAAGTAGACCAAAACCTTCTGGCTCCCAAAATCCTATATAATGGAGAATATGATATCATTCTTTTTCAAATTTATGAGGCTACACGATGAAATATTTACTACCGTTTGGGCGGTCTGGTGATGCTCCACAGTTAAGTCGTAAAACTAAAGGTGCAAACGCCATTCTGCCCTTAATACAATGCTTTCGGATAGACTGGAAAAAATTAACAGGTATTTCCAAATGCAGATCCAGTGTTAAAACGATGCTGTTTGGATCCTACGATAATGTCAGAATTTCTGTATTATTTGCAAAGTATTATAGATATTGAATAGCTACATGTATAAATAGCTTTCTATACAAATACATGATTTACATCAATTGCGTCCAGCGCAGATTGAATAGCTGCTGTTTTTCTAAATTTTCCTTTCTTAGTAATAATTTGATACCTATTTATTTAATTGAAATAGTTTATCATGTCAGAAAACAAAAACAAAATACCCCTTTGCGGTGCTTAATTAATATCAACTACATGCATGACTGATTATATATAGCTGATGATATATGGTACATACTTTGGTAAAGGGCTTCGCTTTAGTGCTGTTTCTACATCAATGTCGTTGCTGTCATAGTCCACAATAATAAAATTCAAGTTGTTATCCTTTGTCGATGTGTAGATCTGATTTTTGAATCCAACCGGAGAGGAATAAATTAGAGTAAAGTTGTTGCATATAGAATGGTAACAAAATGACTGACATCTATTGTGACTTACATTTGAAACATCATCGAAAAAGTGTTGTAACCATCTGCCCTGGTTCTTAACTACATTTAAAACAGTTGAGAAATTGAACAAAAGATACAAGACTTACAATGATGATTTTCCTTTATACAAGGTTGATACTATAATTTCGTACAATATTCTAAACTTTTGCTAGCTATTAACAACAGAATCTGGTGTTTTACCGGTTATAATGACGTTAATATCAGCTGATTTATTCCAACGGAAATTTTCTGGATAACATAGCTGATACTGGTCTTTGACCTGATATACATATTTACTTAGGCGATGCACAACTTCTGTTAAAAATTGAAATAGTTTTATGTTAAGAATATTTACTAGCACTTATATATATCGTTAAATTTTTATTTTGAACAAATTAAATGAAATAAAAAGATCCAATTATACTATAATATCATCAATAAACAAGATTATTATTACCTTGTCCGTTTACATAGAGATCCTACAGAAGATTGAAACCAAAATTACACTGTTAGCTTTTAATTTTGCCAAAATAAATCAAGAAAGTAACAAGGCGATATGATACTAACCATTTCAATAAAGTAGCGATCGCCATTAACATTGTCGTGATTTTCTTCAATATTGATTATTTGCTTGAGTTTATATTTTCTAATATTTTGGTAAATATGTATAGTAGTGTTTACTAAATAGTAACGTAAAAACTTAAACTGATGGAAAATTTTTACTCACAATTTCCATTTCTTTTCGATAGCTTCCATGTATTTTTTCACGACTCTTTCTGCCGTCTAATAGAAATGAGGTACAATTATGAGCACTGAGTCAAAAGTTACTATAAAAGAGAAGAAATCATTTATAGTATAACATGTACTAACCGCCGGTACTAGTAAAGGGTTACCACTTGTGAAATAATCACCATTTCGAACAACAGTGTGATCATCAGGATAGACACTAGTATAATGTAACTAACAAATAAAATGATATTCGTCTTATTGATGATATGATAACTTCAATATTAACTTTATTCAAAATCTAATGACTGACATGATTGATGCCTTCATAACGTTTCAACTTCTTTTTAACCAAATAGCTTGGTTCATAGGGGCACGTTGGCAACACATGATCAAAGTCTCCATCAAAGACGAACGGAACTGTAGGTTGAATATTGGTTTGATATAAATTATTGATGATAATCCATTTATAAATATTATCTAAACCACATTGCATACTTGATTGGGGTTTATCTCGTGGATCAGTTATTCCTTCAGGAGATCTCTACAAAAAAATTTTGATATAAAATAGCAATCGTTAACCATTGAAAAGCATGCAATCTTCTCGACTGGGATTACAGTACAATAAATTTACCCCCAAAGATTGAGCGTGTAGTGGAATTGGATTCAGAAATTTAACATCTCCATCTTTAATTTTAAGATCGTCTATTTTACAGTTATTAAAGATGTGAGCGATTAGTAAAAATGGATAAAAATAATTTTTTCACTTGCCAAGAAATTTATAGCAACACAGTATTGACTTGTTCTACTTACCAACATACATGGATATATAATCTGAACTAATAATTCGATATGGTTTGTTGCTTCCATACTTTCTCCACTGCAAAAATAACATACAATCAAATGATATTGACTTATTGTAATCCAATTAAAAATCCTTACAAGTATTATTATTAATACATCACTCCATATCATACCGCAACTTGAATATGATCCTGGCCTTTGGCTTGCTTATGAAGTGCCTCAATAAAATAACGTTTGCCTTTAACAAGGCTACGTTAAGAAAGTCAGGAATAAATAATATTAATATCGCATGTAAAATTATTACTGCTTCTTCTTGAAATGAAATAAAAATCCAAATTAATCCCTTCGCTATATCGATATCATACTTGTGATTTTTACTCACTTTATTTTTCGTGATTGTTGCGGTTTATATTTATCAAATTGATATGGCTTGGTAAATAAACGAAGTTCATCCTTTAGATCCATATGAAGAAAATAAAATAGATTAATACCCACGTAATAAGTCCACAGTATAACGTGTTTAGGTATCATAAAGTGTTGTTAAAGTAATTTCTATCAAAATTCATTTCTAACCCTTCCTAGCGACGCTATTAATTTGACATTTTGCGGGTTTTCACCAGTACTTAACCATAATTCTCCAGTATCATCCGCTGAGATAGCAAATTGATAATCGCCTAATAATGTAGTATTAATACCAACATGGTCAATTGCATGTATAGGAGGACTATTAATGTATCGACATCGAGGTTTGACTATTGATTGTATCTTGCATTGACGTTATATAATTCTATTTAAATAAAAAATAATATGGACCTGTTTCGTTGGGATGAATATAGCCAAAGATTCTTTGACCGTACTCGGTTCCATTGGGTTGAATAGCAAAATTACTTAATACATATCGTTTCTATTGATTGACCAAGAAATACAAATAATTAAGTATTAAATCAAGCCAACTTTTTCTTGTAGAAGCATACAGGCAAGATACTATCGCGGTAATACGAATACAGTGAACTACGTCGATGTACTACTAGAGAAAGAAAGATTACATGTGGAAGATGTGGAAAGAGCGAATATTTTTTTAAGTCATCGACGGTAAATCCGCACAGATCCTTCCATACGTGAGCATTCAGTTTGCCCTATATATTCAAAATGATAATTGTGCAAAATATGGAAAGTACAGATGTAAGAAATAGTGTTAAACAATGAATTTATTCCTAATAACATAGCATACCTTAGTTCCTTGTGGTGTTGTACTTGGAAGTGGAGCTAGAGCATTATTGTTGAAAAAAAAGCACAATTGAATGATATTTTATTCCAAGTTATTAATTAATATTATAATATAGAGATAGAATACCATAGCTATTGTAATCACGTTAATTAAATTAGTACAAAAAATCTGTCTACCTGATTTAGTTTGTGGAGCTATTGTTGTTGGTGTTGTCTGCTATGATGAAAAAATTGAACCCAAAAAAATATTAAAGTATATTTTATTAATCTCTATATTGCATCGATGGAAAATCTCCTCTCAATTCTTCAAGATCGATGATGACTGTTATTTCTTTGGCATTATACAATTGGATTAATCTTTGATTTTAGATTATTGCAATGCTATAGTCATAGACGTAATGTCATCATTTATCAATAAAAAAAGTAATAAAACAACAACGGTGGTGTAACATCCCGTTGTTCAATTAATATTAAAGCATCATTTTTAGAGAGTAAGGGTTAGCGATATCGTTAGCAGAAAAGGTGAAATTATTTTATAAATGATTTCCAATTTTGAAGAAACAATTAGTATAGTATCTGTATTCTATAGAAATAGATGGACAGCATCATTTCCATTATTGTTAATGGATGACAGATTGAACTAGTTTCGATTTGATTTAAAAGTGTAATGATATTTAATGCGTCTATCGTTGTATGATCTATTCGTCTCTCCTGGTGAAATACGAAATAATGATTTGACAGCAATCATTTATATTGTGGCAGAATAAAGGACTTGAAGGTAGTGATTGTTGCTCATCCTCTAGCTGTTAATGTCGATTGTAGGTAGGCAATGAATACGTGTCCAACTTCAGTGATTGATAATATATAAAATATTTAAGAAAGCTACTGCAGTGGAGTATCCAATGGTCATCATCAGCCAGTCAATGTAACCAGTGTATGCAATCAGTTGAGCGTGAATAGTTTAAAGCGACGTTTTAATAGTCTCATTTTGGGGGATCCTTCGTAACTCATTATTTTAGAATTTAGTATGTATCTCAATTTCATTTTTAGTTCTAATAAATTCAGCTGTCGTCTATTTCGGTCATTTTTTTAGTATTTAACAAAGATACATCAGTTGACAACTATAGATCGAGAACTGGTTTGAATTGGATACATTACTATGTTACAAGATAGCATAGCTACTAATTATAACTCATTCAACATGTAAAGACGTTGAATAATTCTAAAATAAAATTGAATTGTAAATTGTGATTAAATTGTCATCTATGACAAGTTTCTATTATACCGTTCTAAAGATTGTAGATCGATCTTTCACTTGAGCGTAAAAAGTAATATTAATCCATGTTGATGAATAAAATTGGGATATAAATGTTATGATAATTGTTTACTAAAAGGTTAGCCTCATTCTAAGTCGATCATTGTCGTGAAACGTAATCATCAATGCAAGATGATCAAGTAAAAAAAAATTTCACCAAACGAGCTAGTCACCATGTTAATATTGGCGTTATGCGCATAATTTGGGCTGGTAAAAATGAGAAGTATGCAAAATACGTGTACTGAAATAGAGTCTGGAAGTTCTGTCAGGATTGTAATGATTTCAAAAGAAATCTAGATTACTTTCCGGATATTGTAGAAAATGGCTGGCCTTGCAGTCTCGTGAGGGTTTAACTGAAATGAATACATGTAGTGTATCATTTCAATCGCTTGATGAGAGATATTGACACAACCATGGATGCATCTAAATTAGTGATGATGAATTTCGTATCTAGTATTTTAGTTCGATAGCGATCAGATCTCAAATCGATCGATGAAAGCATAGAGAAAGAGTAAGATGAAATAGAATTCAGACTAAAATGAGTCCATCTAAAATTGCATATCGATGTTTACATTATGTCGGCTATTTAAACGTTTTATTAGAGAGTAAGTTGAATTAGAATTCAGACTAAAATGAGTCCATCTAAAATTGCATATCGATGTTGACATTATGTCGGCCATTTAAACGTTTTATTGGATAACAAGACGAATTTGAAAATCATGAATCTATTTGAAATTTCATCGACGAGTGCACTATATCGGCTTTTGTAATGCATTATTAAATATGACGATGAAAATAAAAGCAAAAATAATACAGCTGAAATTTTATCGATTAGAGCGCTGTATCGGCTTTTATGATGGATGATTGGATATGATGAATTTAACGAACAAAATTGGTACACCTAAAATTTCATCAATAAATGCACTCAATCGGCTATTGCAATGCATTCTAATTATTGGATAGGATGATGAATTTGAAGAGCAAATGAA